GAACCAAAAACAGTCATAATTGAGATTTTCATGACAATTATCCACCCTCTCTCTGAACCGTTGGCTGTTCTGATGGTTGCTAGATGGTTACTTCCTGGTCCAAGAAGTCCTCACCTAATTTCAAACTTCTTTTCCATTGTGAAGAGCTGGATGCAGAATGCATTAGGTGGCCCGTCTGATTCAGAGTCCTCACCTGAGTCCACCGTGTCTTTGATGCATGTCTCAAACACTCTGGCTAGTTAGAGAAACAAAAATAAGTTACTTGGCATGAATCACAAGGATTCTCAAAAATAGTAACTGGTATTCAAATGCAAAAGAAGGGAGAAACTTCTCAAAGATGATGTTTAGCTCTGACCTGCAGATATGTCAGTAGGCTCATCTCCACTCTCCTCCTCTGCCATCAGTTCACCCTGTAAAGTTTATTTGGAAATTCATTTAAAAAATATCCATAAAGAGCAGCATTAAATATTCTGAATGTGTCTTTTGAAACTCACTTCCACAGGTTCTTTGGCTTCATCATATTGCTGGGCATCAGAGATATTATTTTCCTCCCCCAGTGGATGTGGTTCCGCTGGTTTTTCCTCTTGATGAGCTGGATTTGTCTTTCTCAGTCCTTCAAATTTTTCAAGTTCAAACCACTTATTGAATACCTTCAAATCCATGTGACCACTCACACTGACAAAGCCAACGACAGCTCCTTCATTCTGTGTAAGTACGCATAAACACACATACATTAACACTTTAATTGGAATAATACTGCATTTTTTTTGCACTACAATAAAAATAATGAGATATTTACAATTCTATGGTAACAACGCCCTGCATCATATTTGCTGGATGAAATCCAATACTTCTTTATTACTCATTTTGGGATGCTGATTCCAAGAATAGTGCCTGTTTCATCACATTTTCTAACAAAATATGATGCATTTCGTAGCATTTTTGCTTTCGACAACCATTTGTAAGGTGAAGCTGTCTTGTATTCTCACTTAAGAAAAACTGTCACAAAGACATGATTCCTGTCTTCCTCTGTGCCAATTACAAGTATTTGTTCAATTCTAAGCCTATTTTCACATGTATGAATGAATCTCAAGATTTTATTTTAAGCCTAATCCTGATTTCCCCTTTTTCCACTCCTTTGCAAATTGTTAATAAGTTATGAATACTTCGTTTTGTCATTAAAATGGAAACTTTTGACATTTGACTGCTTTTGTTATTTTGTTAAATGCATTCAAGTTTATACATTTTTTTATTCAAAATGTAAAAAGATCTGAATTCTTATTTTGTGAAAAAAGTGTACGTGATGGAAAGTTTTAATGGTATTTTTGAACTTAGCATCATCAAATTAGGTATTATTAGGCTTTTTCTGTAAATCAGCAGATTTTGTTTTCAAGATGCAGAGCTGTCTAATCATAATTTGGGGTAAAGTTGTGAGGGAAAAAATGCTAAATCTTAATGGTACTAAAAATAGTCTTCTTTTTCTTCAAAAATAGAATTAATTCCTATTTCTGTTTGATTTTGGGGGGAAATATGACCTGGACATGCTCTTGACAGATTTCATGAGATTCACCCATATATAATTTAAAACTCTCATAAAAACTGAGTTAGAGACCTAGAAAAACAACACCTCTGTAATAATTTATGAATTTTCTCTGGAAATTTTTTTTTGTAATCCTCCTGGGCAATGTAGTACAGTTGGGCAATTCAGACAAAAGGCAAAACTGCTACAGATGTCTGGACACAATATGTTCAGTGTGAGTATGTCTTGGCAGGGGATGAGCTCTCATCTGCCATATGTCGCATGAACACATGTCAGTATGCGCCGCAGGGGAGAGAGTGGGGGGATCTTTTGTCCTGTCATTCCTGATAAAACACAATACTTCTTTATTACTCATTTTGGGATGCTGATTCCAAGAATAGTGCCTGTTTCATCACATTTTCTAACAAAATATGATGCATTTCGTAGCATTTTTGCTTTCGACAACCATTTGTAAGGTGAAGCTGTCTTGTATTCTCACTTAATCACCAGAAAAACTGTCACAAAGACATGATTCCTGTCTTCCTCTGTGCCAATTACAAGTATTTGTTCAATTCTAAGCCTATTTTCACATGTATGAATGAATCTCAAGATTTTATTTTAAGCCTAATCCTGATTTCCCCTTTTTCCACTCCTTTGCAAATTGTTAATAAGTTATGAATACTTCGTTTTGTCATTAAAATGGAAACTTTTGACATTTGACTGCTTTTGTTATTTTGTTAAATGCATTCAAGTTTATACATTTTTTTATTCAAAATGTAAAAAGATCTGAATTCTTATTTTGTGAAAAAAGTGTACGTGATGGAAAGTTTTAATGGTATTTTTGAACTTAGCATCATCAAATTAGGTATTATTAGGCTTTTTCTGTAAATCAGCAGATTTTGTTTTCAAGATGCAGAGCTGTCTAATCATAATTTGGGGTAAAGTTGTGAGGGAAAAAATGCTAAATCTTAATGGTACTAAAAATAGTCTTCTTTTTCTTCAAAAATAGAATTAATTCCTATTTCTGTTTGATTTTGGGGGGAAATATGACCTGGACATGCTCTTGACAGATTTCATGAGATTCACCCATATATAATTTAAAACTCTCATAAAAACTGAGTTAGAGACCTAGAAAAACAACACCTCTGTAATAATTTATGAATTTTCTCTGGAAATTTTTTTTTGTAATCCTCCTGGGCAATGTAGTACAGTTGGGCAATTCAGACAAAAGGCAAAACTGCTACAGATGTCTGGACACAATATGTTCAGTGTGAGTATGTCTTGGCAGGGTATGAGCTCTCATCTGCCATATGTCGCATGAACACATGTCAGTATGCGCCGCAGGGGAGAGAGTGGGGCGATCTGTTGTCCTGTCATTCCTGATAAAACACAAACTAACACAATTTCTGCCCCACTTTGCATAGAGTCCGTGAACTTAAGAGGTTAGTGTGCTCTTTTTTCAAGAGATAAATCTGAGAAGCAAAAAGCATGCAAAATTCCCGTGTTGCTTTCCATTTTCTTGTTTAAGAGAAAAACAACTTTGCATCTTGAAAAAAAAACTTCTGCTGATTTATAAAAAGCCATAATATTATGTAATTTGATGATGCTGAGTTCAATAAGATCAAAAACTTTCCATCACGTACATCATGTAAATAAGAAAGCAAAAATGCTACGAAATGCATCATATTTTGTGAGAAAGTGTGACATGCTCGAGCAAACAGACACCATTTTTGAAATCAGCACTCCAAAATTTATATAGTATAGTGTAGTATAGTATAGGATTTCATTTCTCAAATATGATACAGGGCAGTGTATTTAAAGAGGTCATATTTGTGTTTTTTTTATATGTGCACATAGGGAAAATGTAATTTTTTCAGAACCAAATTTTCTGAGCTTGATTATCCACATTAATTTTTAATCTCTCAATTGTAAACAAAACCTGACTAACTTCACAGACAGCTGCATGGTTCTCCTCGTCTTGAGCCTCGATGAGCTCAGACAGGAAGTACGGCCCGTGGGACTCCACCAGTGGCGTGATCTGTTCTGCAAATATGTGCATGAGGTCATCGTGATCTTCCACTCTGGGGAATATAAAGTTATTGCACCAGGAGTTTAATACATCACTGTGCTGCAAATGCCCTGTATAAACTGTATATTTGATATAAATTGTCTACAGCAGGACAAAAACAGTCTAGACGTGGATTATGATCAGCTTCACACTAGATGAAATAACACGAATGTCTGAATAAGTGAATGTCATATTTCACCCCAAATACAAGAGAAAAATAATTAAAAATAAGAAATTATATTTTGCATAGAGAAAGTGAAGATTTTTAGATTTCTTTATTTTAGATTTCTTTCAATTATTTTATGAAAATTAGTGCTATCAAACGATTAATCGTGATTAATCGCATCCAAAATAAAAGTTTTTGTTTATATAATATATGCGTGTGTACTGTGTATATTTATTATATATATATATAAATACACACACATGTATATATATATTTAAGAAAAATATGATTTGTTTACATATATGAAATATTTATATTTATTTATAATATAAATTATATATGAATATAAATATATATATGCATATAAATATTTTTTTTAATATATATGTATGTTTGTGTATTTATATATACATACTAAATATACACAGTACACACGCATATATTATATAGACAAAAACTTTTATTTTCGATTAGTTCACCCAAAAATGTTAATTAGGCTGTGTTTTACTCACCCCCGAGGCATCCTAGGTGTATATGACATTATTATTAATTTATATTAATTAATAATTAGCTATTTATTGTATTTAATTTTGCACTCCCATAAATAAAAAGTATTTATAAGATGTGCTTAATTTATTTAAAATTGTAAAATTTAATTTATTTTTATTTTGTTTTTGTAAGACTAATTGCATAATAATTTTCTTAACTCTTAACACTTACAGAAGATGAATGACATTGATTCTCCCAAACACAGCAACAGCTGCAGGACTGATCAGATTATTGATCTCTTCAGCATCTGACCACTCAGTTCTCCTCACAGCCACACTTTCAGCTTTACCAGCAGATGAAGTGATGGTGTTCACTGCAAATCTAATACAATTAAGAAAATATACAAATAGTTATGATTAGATACAGACATAAATTGTGCTATAGCTGTAAAGATTTGCCATTTGTTTTAATTTTTCATGTCTATAGTAGTTACTAGTTCGCACATAGAATTGCTAAACAAACCAATAACAAATCTTTAATTTGAGCTTAGTCGCTTGTACACAACAATACATAAGAAAAATAATGTTCATTCATTTAAATTTAAGACAAATGCAATATAAAAGCAATATAAAACAGACCTTTCGTGTGAGAATACTAAAAATCTGTTTTTAAAGAAGTAAATCTCAAGTAAACGTTCATCTGAAGTTACAGCTAACCGTTAGCGAGCGTCCTGTAACCATGGTGACTGAGCTCCGTGACATAGCAGCGGTCAAAGGTTACCGCGCGTCACGGCAGACGCGACGCTCGACACACACGGCATCGAAACGAACGGTTTTAGCGGCTTATCGAAGTTTAAAAACATAAAGAAATACGTAAAGTAGCCTTGTAGTAAAGTGACAGGAGCGTAATAATCATGGCGTCCACCGCGGCGGGTAAACAGAGAATACCGAAAGTGGCGAAGGTAATAAAATAAATAATGTTTTGTGAGTTAGCATTAGCTTGTAAACAACGTGAAGCGGTTGTGTTTCACCGTAAACACCTATTATATAATGTTTCTAGATGTAGTTAATTGAGTTAAACGTGGGTTTTGTGTTCAGGTGAAGAATAAAGCCCCAGCAGAGGTGCAGATCACTGCAGAGCAGCTGCTCAGAGAGGCGAAGGAGAGAGAGCTAGAGCTGCTGCCTCCTCCACCCAAACAGAAGATCACTGATGCAGAAGAGCTCAACGACTATAAACTGAAGAAGAGGAAGGTATAACTGCTATATGTTCTGTATATGATCACGACATGTTTGGCAAAATGCATGATGGTATCAAATGGTAGTACAACGGTACTTTGATGCATACCATAGTACTGTGTGGTTACTATATGCATGTACCGTGGTATTACCATAATGTCAAGAATACACTGTATTACCAAAGTAGTATATGTACCGACAACATGGTATTGTCAAGTCACATTTATTTATAAAGTGCTCTAACAATACAGATTGTTTTAAAGCAGCTTCACATTAATAAACAGTCTAAATGTTAATCTGTTGTGAAACATCTTCAAGACAATAGTGTCATTATTCAGCTCAATTTAGATCAGTCATGAGTTATGAAACAAATTCAATATTATCATGGTATGTGCCACAAAAATACTAGTATGTATATGTACATGGTTTTGTCTTGGTTCATGCTTTAAATAATTGACATTACCATGGTACATTTCCAGAAAACATGGTAATAACATGGTGCATGTCCAAAAAACATGGTTTTACCATAGCACATGTCCATAAAACATAGTATTGTCACGGTATATGCCTCAAAGACATGGTATTACCATAGGAAAAGTCCAGAAAACTTGATATTGTCATGGTACGTGACCCCCAAAGCATAGTATTACCAATGGACATGCCATAAAACATGGTGTTGCCCTGGTATGGGCTTAAAATATTATATTACCATGGTATATCTCTGGTCCATAGTGCATGTCCAGAAAACATAGTATTGTTGTGGTATGTGCCCCAAAAATATAGTTTTAAGGTGGAACGTGCCATAAAACATGGTAATACCAGGGTACATGCTATTAAAAACATTTTGTTACCATAAGTAATACAAGTTATTACCATAGTACATATCCAGTAAACTTGGTATTACTCTTGTCATGTTATATGCCACAAAAACATAGTAGTATTACCAAGGCACATGTCATAAAACATGGCATTGCCATGACACATGCTTTAAATATTTTATATTACCATGGTACATCTCCAGAAAACATGGAATTATCATAGTTGATATCCAAAAACCTGGTATTACCATAGTGCATGTCCAGGAAACATTGTATTTTCATGGTATGTGTCCCAAAAAATATAGTATTATCAATGTACATGCCATGAACATGCTTTTACCATGATACCTGCATTAAAACATGACATTACCATGGTGCAGCTCCAGAAAACATAGTATTATCATAGTACTTTCAAAAACTTGGTGTTATCATATAGAAAAACAAGAATTTGCCAGGGTCCATGTTCTAAAAATGCAATTGCTATGGTACATATCCAAACACATTCAGCTTTTTTCTATCAATTCAGGGGTTTGAAGACAACATCAGGAAGAACAGAACTGTCATCAGCAACTGGATCAAGTACGCACAATGGGAGGAGAGCCTGAAGGAGGTCCAGAGGTGAGTTTCAGTTCGGTGTCTGATGACTGAATCGTAGATTGGAAGTGATTTCTTTTAACTGTTTTTATTGTCTTCAGAGCTCGCTCTATCTACGAGCGTGCGCTCGACGTGGATCACCGCAACATCACGCTGTGGCTGAAGTATGCAGAGATGGTCTTATTTAAAAAACAAACAAAAAACACATGACTTTCTTAGAAACCTTTTGGTCTTTGCTAAACCAGTTTGTAGTTTTAGCCATATTCAAAACATCAGTTTCTTGCTTAATGACGACTCTGTTGCTTATTATCATAATTTTCCACGCTATAGGCAAGCCCACACAATTATGATGCCTGGTTTGATTACCTGCGGCTGGTGGAAAGTGACACCGATGCAGACACGGTTAGAGAAGTGTACGAGAGAGCGATAGCCAACATACCCCCCATCCAAGAAAAGAGACACTGGAGACGCTACATCGCCCCGTGTCAATCAGTTCTGGTAAGCTTCCTTCTCATGATCATATAGACATTAATGCATTCGGACAAAGATACTCTGTTTTTTTTTTCTTGTTGTGACTCCTGATTCATTCTTTTGTTCATATGTTTATGCACCAGGTACAAGTATACCTATATGGAGGAGATGCTGGGGAATATTGTCGGCTGTAGGCAGGTGTTTGAGCGCTGGATGGAGTGGGAGCCGGAGGAGCAGGCCTGGCATTCGTACATCAACTTTGAGCTGCGCTATAAGGAAGTGGACAAATCCCGCAGCATCTATGAGCAATATATTCTTTCATAAATAGTCTGTTTCACCAGCTTTATCCGGATACAATACACATACAGTACATGAGTACTATGTAGCAAATCCCAGCTGCCTTGTTTCATTGCACAATGAAACTATATTATCGCCCAGCTCTTTATTTAAAGTTAGATAAGTATGTCCAACTTCAACTGCATACATACAGTATACTTGTGTAGAGTGATATGTACTATATGGCAAATATCAGCTGCTTGATTGCTTGTATTGTGGCATAATGCAACTATTATCGCCCAGCTTTAATTTGCTAAATGCACAAGGCATGGAGGTATTATAAATATGAAATTCTGAAAAGCGCTATAGAAATAAATTTGACTTGAAATGCATAAAATATATATAAAAATAAGCATATTATATTATACTATATTATTGTCATTTGAGTGAATGAATGGCTGTTACATAAAAATGTAGTTGTTATCCTTAACGGCAAAGCACTCGTGATGGTCCATCCTGAAGTGAAGAACTGGATCAAGTACGCTCACTTCGAAGAGAAGCACGGCTACATCGCTCGTGCGAGGAAAGTGTTCGAGAGAGCCGTGGAGTTTTTTGGTGAGGAGCATATCAATGAGAACCTCTACGTGGCTTTTTCCAGATTTGAGGAGAAGCAGAAAGAGGTATGAAGTCCTGTGTTCATGTCATCCAGTTAACACGAGACCCTTCTGATGTTTCCTGTTCAGACCTGACCGTTCGCTTTGTGTCTTTTAGTTTGAGAGAGTTCGCATCATCTATAAATACGCTTTGGACAGAATCCCCAAGCAACAGGCCCAGGAGCTGTTTAAGAACTACACTGTGTTTGAGAAGAGGTTTGGAGACAGGAGAGGAATTGAGGACGTGATTGTCAGCAAAAGGAGGTTTCAGTATGAAGAGGAAGTCAAGGTGAATCATTCAACAAAATGTATTATGTTAATAAATGTATTAAATTATTAATAATAATAATATGATTGTAATATGTATTGTGTAATGTAACATATCATATAAAATAAAGCTAAAATTATATTTTAACATTAAAACTATATTTGTATAAATGAAAATTAACTACGCTCTCTATGAGGAGCTGGAGGTCAAGGTATGATAGACATCAGTGAGCTGAAGTATTCAGCATTCATTTTTATCTCTCAGTTAAGCCGTGGAATTACATGTGCATGTTTAGAGTCAGATCTTGGTGTCATAAGTTTAGTCTGGTTTGTTTAGGAGCCTGAGAGAACGAGGCAGGTGTACCAGGCATGTCTGGAGCTTATACCACACAAAAAGGTAAAACTGTCAGTCTTAATGGTGCTTAAAAACACTATTTACACAACCTCATGTCATTTTTGGTGAACCAGTCCTTAAAATGTTAATTCTGCACTGGACAATTTGCAATAGGGCTGTCACGATTCCTTGATTAAATTTGAGTACTCAATTTAAAAAAAAATACTTGATTGCATTTTGCCCATGTCGATTAACCAGCAAAATAGCGCAAGTGGCACATTCCACGGGTGAGAATCCATGAAAAGCATTATTAGACCATTTTCTAAGGCTGCACGAAATATTAAAACCATTAAAAATCATAATAAAGCATAGTGCTGTTGTGAATTCACAAAGGCTGCGATTCAATTAAATATATGCGCTGCTGGTTTAATATGCGCTTTATTAATATGTGTGTAGCTTACATGCATTTCACAGCGGCTCCGTTCACAGTAAATGCTGCTCCACACAAACAGTTATCATTTACATTCGCGGACCGTCTCAATCTCCATCTTTGCATGTGCTGTGAGCCTGAGTTGCTTATAACGTTTTGCGAACAATGTGCACCATTTTATCAGATTTATAAGGTAAATAATTTATAAACCCACATCAACACAGGAGAATACATCATTATCTTTCTAAATATGCCAACCGATCATCGCGACAGAATAAAAGTTTAAACCCTCACTTTGAGTTTGCATGTTTTGATGTCCACATGTTCTTGTTTGAGAAATGACAGCGGCTGTAGCATTTCTATCATAAAGATGTGGCCAAATATTAAAGAATAAGTGGACATGAATTAAAAGTTGTTTAGTAAAGTGTCAAAAAAATTTGTCAAGCTGTTGGCGCCCTCTGCAGGCATTTGATATAATACATAATTTATATAAGTTATGATTATATTGTTTTATTACATTATGTATTTTAGCTGTTTTGTTCAATAAAACCATATGATTACTTGCTTTTGATATTTTATTTGAACCAATTATTATTGCCTCATTGCTATTATATATTGATTTTAAGTCATTTGTTCGCTTAGGTCTATTTTAATTACCACAAAAAATTATCTGATTACTCGATTAATCGTCAGAATAATCGACCGATTACTCGATTACAACAACAAAAAATCATTCGTGACAGGCCTAATTTTAACAGCTGAAAACAGAAAATGATGTGCTTGACACTGTATTTAATCTGTGAAATCCTCAAAGGGTTTTTCATTATGATGTAGCTACCATTTCTAAGTTGTTTTCTAACTATAGCCTGTATACCTTTGTTTTATATCTAGTTTACGTTTGCCAAGATTTGGCCCTTATATGCGCAGTTTGAAATCCGACAAAAAAACCTCCAGAATGCTAGACGAGGCCTGGTAAGTGTTTCACTCTTAAACAGACTTGTATACTTTTAGACTTCTGTTCTGTTTGGGATCAGTAAGATTGAAAAAAAAACAAAAAACATTAATACATTTATTCAACAAGGATGCATTAAATTGATCAAAAGTGACAGTAAAGACATTTATAATGTTACAAAAGATTTCTATTTCAAATAAATGCTGTTATTTTGAACTTCCTATTCATCAAAAAATCCAGGGAAAAAAATCAGTTCCCACAAAAATATGAAGCAGCACAACTGTTTTCAACATTGATAATAATCAGAAATGTTTATTGAGCAGCAAATCAGCATATTAGAATGATTTCTGAAGGATCATGTGACACTGAAGACTGGAGTAATGATGCTGAAAATTCAGCTTTGATCACAGGAATAAATTACACTTTAAAATATATTCAAATGAAAGCAGTTATTTTAAATAGTAATAATTTTTCACAATATTTATTTTTTACTGTATTTTTGAATACAGTAAATAAATGCAGCCTTGGAAGCATAGATTTCTTTCATGTATTTAAAAAAAAAAATGACCCCACACTTTTGAAAGGTAGTGTACTTCCTACACACTGCAGAGTTTGACCTCTGACCTCTCTCCTGTCAGGGCACAGCCATCGGAAAGTGTCCCAAAAACAAACTGTTCAAAGGCTACATCGAGCTGGAGCTACAGCTGAGGGAGTTTGACCGATGCAGGAAGCTCTACGAGAAGTATCTGGAGTTCAGTCCAGAAAACTGCACCACCTGGATCAAGTTTGCCGAGCTGGAGACCATCTTGGGAGACACAGAACGTGCCAGAGCCATATTTGAACTGGCCATTGGACAACCACGTCTCGACATGCCAGAGGTCAGAACTTCATATTTCTCTCTCTTTACAGTAATTGGTTCCTTCCAAGCTTTTTCCTCCATATTCTCACTATATCATACTATATGAGCCATAAACAAAAACAATAAACTGTTCCATGTGTTTACATCAGGTGCTGTGGAAGTCATACATTGACTCTGAGATCGAACAAGAAGAGTACGAGAACACACGAGGACTTTATAAAAGACTGTTACAGCGTACTCAACATGTCAAAGTAAGCCATCAAAATGCCGGCAACACAACATTTTCATTCTAAATGAATATCTGATTCATTTGATTCCAACCTGGTTGCATTGTAGGTCTGGATCAGCTATGGCCAGTTTGAGCTGTCCATTGACAGTGACGACCGCATACAGCGATGCAGACAGATCTACGAGGAGGCCAATAAGAGTATGCAGAACTGTGAGGAGAAAGAGGAACGTCTGATGCTCCTGGAGTCCTGGAGAGACTTTGAGGACGAGTTGGGATCGTTCGCCAACAAGGAGAGAGTCCAGAAACTCCTGCCTGAGAAGGTGAAGAAGAGGAGGAAGATCACAGCAGAGGACGGGGTGAGAGTTTATGCCTTCTTGTGTCCTGTTCATGATAGTGTCATGATAGTAGGGCTGTGTATGATAGTATGATTTACTTGTTTTCTTGATGCATCAATTACAAATAGAGTGGGGGAACTATGACGTCAGAATCCGGAAGTGTAATTCGCTGCAGGTTCCTTCGAGATTTTCCTATGGGGTTTTATAATGGGGTTTTTCAATTAATGAGTACAATAAAGCCTGTGGTAAACATAACTTGATGATACGTTTACGTTTTGTTCTACAATGTAAACTGCACACACTCACAGCCCAAACGTTCTTATCTAGTTACTTATTAAAAAGATACGTTTCAAAAATGAACAAAACTGCTTCAAAATTTGTTGTTTTGGGTATGGATGCATGTAATTTATGTTGTAGAACAAAACGTAAAAGCATCATCAAGTTACGTTTACCACAGGCTTTATTTTACTCATAAATTGAAAAACCCCATTATAAAACCCCACAGGAAAATCTCGAAGGATTCTGACGTCATAGTTCCCCCACTCTATTCATCTTGAAACATGGATTTTTGAAATGTGAATTGTTTGTTTCGGTGAAGAAACAATTCAAAATGTTAAAAATGGAATGAAATGTCATTTGTTAAAATGTCATTCAATATTGTTAAATATTGAAACATTGAATTACCTGCATGCGCAAATTTTTGGAGACATAGTGACACTCGTTTTCTCATTATATCGATTAGAAATCCTGCTGATGCATGCGCATTAATCTTGAAACATGGATTTTTTAAAATGTGAATTATTTGTTTCAGTCAAGAATCTATTTAAAATTCTAAAAATTGAACGAATCACGATTCGGTAAAGTATCATTGAGTATTTTAAAAAAACATAAATATTTAATTACTTGCATGTGCAAATTTTTGGAGACATAGTGACACTGGTTTTCTCATTATTATCAATTAGATATCCTGCCGATGCATATGCATCAATCTTTTTGAATTGTGAATTGTTCTTTTTGGTCAAGAATCAATATAAAATGCTAAAAATCAAATTAGCCGTGATTTTGGAAATTATCATTCAATATTTTATAATACATAAACATTAAATTACTTGATTGCACAAATTATTGGAGACAAAGTGACAACCGATTACAAATCCTGCTGATACACATCCATCGATCTTATAACATGGATTTTTGAATCGTTTGATTCGGTCAAGAATCGAAAAGCTAAAATAATACTTTAAAATGCTAAAACTTGAATGAATCAAGATTCAGTAATGTATCATTCAATATTTTAAAATAAACATTAAATTAAATTAAATTATTAACATATGTGCACAAACGATTGATAAAGTTTCTGACACAACAAATTATTTCTAGACCAAGAAAAGTCATGGAAATTACATTTAAAAAAAGAAATTGAATATGGAATATTTTCTTAGGTGTGTTTAACTCAGTATTTATAATTATATTCCGAGTAGTCTGTATATGCACTAGGAATGCAACAATAAAGTTAGCCCATGGTTCAATGTTTTTTTAACCACGGTTTTTGGTTTGGTTCTGATGGCTTGGGACATCAGTGTTTTTTGCAAATAAAAATGCGATTTTTAAAACAAATTAACAAAAAAAGTTTTCCTTTTTCTTACCTAAGACACATTAGGAGAAGCATTTACATAATCCTATTAATGCACTTAAAAATACAGATTTATTAATTGAAATCCGAGTCTCATTGTGAATTGAATATTTTGCAGAAATCATTCCTGAATTGAAAACCTATGAATTGTTAATTGAGCCGACCCAAAGATTCACGCCCCTTTCGACTAGTCATCCCTAACACATGGTCTTTTGTTTATCAGTCGGATGCAGGTTGGGAAGAATATTATGACTACATCTTCCCTGAGGACGCGGCCAACCAGCCCAACCTCAAACTGCTGGCCATGGCCAAGATGTGGAAGAAACAGCAGCAGCAGGAGGATGAGGATGAGGACGAGGAAGAGCAGGAAGAAGAAGAACAGCAGGTTCCACAAGGGAAGGAAGCACAAGAGAGTTCAGAACCAGAGGAGCAGGGACCTGCGGCCCACGGAGAAGAGCCCGAAAAAAAGTATGACGATCGCGACGATGAGAGCAGCAGCAGTGACAGCGAGAGTGATGGTGGCGACCGTGAAGATGACAAAGACGAGACGGAAGAAACAAAAGCAGACACAAAAACACTCTGAACCGGTGTGGTGGAACTTAACACGTTATTTGTCTCCGTTTCTGTCTATCTATCTCTTTTCTTTTGTAACAAAATAAAGGTGTGAACCAAATGTGCCAGTCACTTACTATCATTCAATATGGCGTCCCCCAAACCGATCGTCGAAGAATCAGAGGGAATCATGTCGCAAACGTTTGCACAGTTGTCATGTTATTTATGATGACTGAGCAAAGAAGTATTTTTATTTACTGAATCTGTGCATGGACATATGCTATGACACAAGTTTATTACAATTGTTTATGTCCATAGTGTTTCCCCTGCCTTATTCTGACTGCCTTTGCAATGGAAAACGCGAGAAATGTTCAACCTGCACAAGAGTCTTTTATATTTTATTTAAAAAAAGACAAATACACCAAGTGTTTGCTTTAACCTTTTTATTTCATGTAACTACAGTCCTTCAGTTTCAGCTTTATTAACCCAGTAGAATTATAATTATTAACCCAATTCATTCAAAGCAGTGGCTCTCTGACATTTCAAATCAATTTTGTGACCAAAAAAAGCAAATGGCTGTTTTCCCAGTTGAATGTTGATTTCAGAGAGCCACATGTTAGTGTTATTCAATATCTTCTGGTCGGACGGGATGTGGTAGCGGGATTATGGATTTCTTCTCTGTGTCTCTGGATAAAGCTTTCCTCATATCTGTCAAACCAAAGAATGGTACAATAAGACTTGTACGTTTTCTGAAGAAATGCGAGTTAGTTTAGCTTGCAAAAGTCTTTGCCGTGATGCTAAAATTCTGGATGGATTGGTAATGTTGCAATTTAAGTCTTTTTTTTGGTCCATTTTATTGTTTGCCAGGTAATAAAATAAATAAATGTCTTTAAAATTAAAACTGAACCCAAAATTTTGAACAGTAGTGTAATAAGTGAATAACCCACCATATGCATCTTCGTCAGGTTCACCGTTACTGGCGGAGTAATACTCTATAACGGTTCGGTACACGCTGTAGCCGAGCTGTTTGTACATATTCACAGCAACTTGATTGGAAACTCGCACAAAGAGATCCACAAAGAATCCGCCCTTCCTAAATAAAACACAAACAAAACTCGTTTAGAGTAAAAATACACAGATACTGTAGCCAATACTAATATTTATTGTAATGTTATGGCTGATAATGATATGATTTCAGATTATACTGTTCTGCCTGTTTTAATTTTTACATGCATTTATTTAGTAGATACTTCTATCTAAAGGAAATTTCAAATGAGGGATGCTACAACACAAAGTGACTTGTACCTTTCTGAGATCTCCTCTAACATCTCCATGAGTTTGGCAGCCAGACCCAGGCGTCTGAACTCCGGTGCCACAGAGAGAGCGGTGACGTGCCCGTGCCACTCGTCTCTAGCGACGGACCCCTCTGCCTTTCCCATGACTACAGGATGACCGTTAACATACAGGTTATAAATACTCCAGTATGACAGTTTTACATGAAATCAGAATCAAAAGTATCCTAGTTCCTAGTAGTGCTGTCAAAATTAAGACGTTAACACATGCGCTTAATTTTTTCAGTTTAACACATTCAAAATATTTAACGCACTTAAGCAGGGGTGGAGCTAGGGTTGGCCACCCCACTCACAACTGCTGCTTCTGTCTCTTTTTCTTGACAAAAATAGTGTTTATTTAGATGCAGAATGTCTTTACGACCACATCAAACGGGAGACTTTCAGACGCATCAATGTCGTAGTTATGTCGTCAGTTAAGTCATGAAGTTACCATTAAAGCTGCCTTAAAACTGCATGCGAGTATATGAGTCACATTTGCCTCTGAAATGCAGTGGTTTTCAAACCTGTCCTGGAGCAGCCCAGCACTGTCTCCAGGCCCAGATTAAGAATTCAGAGGCCCCTGGGCACCATGTCTTGTAAGGGCCCCCCACCCCAAACAATCAAGGTCTTGAATTATATGGTACTATTTGTTGGAAACACCTCTAGCTTATACAGGATTTACACTGACAGGTTACAGCCTATGATCACAACCTGAAGGAAAATATCAACACCTGTAGATATCCTCCATCATACAGGATTTACACCACGACTGCAACAATACGATTAATTAGTTTTTGTTTTTTTATCAATTGACAGCATTAGTTCCTAAATGTCTATCTTGCATCAAAATGTAATAATTTGTTCTGCCTCTGAAACAACTTTCCTTTTCAGATTCAGCCCATCCTCTTAAAACATCAGGATAAATTCTGATCTAACCTTGTTTTGCACAGGAGCATGTCAGATTTCTAAAGTAAAAATGTCTTTCTATATTCCCCAGAAGAAAGTAAGTCATATAGGTTTGGAATGACATAAAGGTGAGTAAATAATGTCTGAATTTTCATCCTTTACATGCACTCAACTACAAAGTGACAGAAATCAGAAAGAGACGCGACTCACTGTAACCCATCAGTTCACCGCCTGGAGCCTCTGCTACTATGAAATACTCTGGCCAGTGAGCCAAATACTGAAGATAGAAAGGAATTCCATACTGTTCAATTAATGAAAGTTAAGTAAAAAAAAAAAAAAAATATATATATAATAAACAGAAAAGCGACACTGTAACTGCCAGACTGATTAATATTTGATCCTTTTGAGGTGTGTTTTAAAGGATACAGTTTCTGTCAAGGGGTCCAGATTACTGTGGGATAAAAATACACAAGTTAATGTAAATATTACCACAATCTCATATATCATGAGCAGAATATAGAAACAAACCTAAAAAAAAATGAAATACTAGTCACACGTGGTCTAACACAATATTAATAGAATGATTATTAACATTTATACAGGTAAAATTCCGATATCACTATATGTTTATCCGGATCAAGTTCAACATGTAGATAATACACAATATAAATGATCCAGCGCAGTAAGCTAACCGAAAATACCATGTTTTTTGAACAAGTACCATAGTATTTATGGAAGTACGCTAGAGTACCGTGGAAATACTACGATACATGATCAAAAAAACTGTACTTTCTTGCGGTTAGTATACTGTACTGCATTATTTATATTGATTACTATCTACATGTTGAATATTATCTGAATGAACATCTAACAAGCCTTGCACCAGTGAAGGTTGCTGATTGTTAATACCATGGTATTATCGTCAGGCACATTCAATGTACGATGACACCGCTACAGTACTTTTTTCTGAAATGGTGATTGTCAGCGCTATTATATAACTTGTAATTAATTATATAACTCACATATTGTTGAATTTAAACAGATCATCGCACGTGAAAGCTCGTAATGTTGTCATTCTCCCGTGTGTGCAGAGCGACGCTCTGACCTCTCACCTCTACGTCACACATGTGACGTTTCGTTGTCTTTTTAAACAGCGACATCTGTCGGCTCGATGGAGAAATACACCGGCGGATTTATTCATTTAATCCAGGGGTCTGCTCTGCACCCTGTGGCAATAGTGTGGGCTACGTTCTAGAAACGTTACTGAACGGGAGTCAAGCCCTTATTCCTTACCAGTAACCATAGCAACAGTGACCAAAGTAATATCAAAGATGGCCAGGTCCGTGAAACTGAAAGGCTTATCACTTTCTGACACGACAAGAGTCCGATCGAGCCGCAAGTTCATCCGTCAAAAATCTTATCAATCAATAAATCAATAACCGACAGCAGCTTTTATATTTGGGTGGAGAGATGACACATGAAATTTTCAGATGACACACAGCTGATTTAATCAATAATACTTTTAATAATAATTTATTTAGTAATATTTGTTTGTTTAAATTAAATATATAAAAATAATTAAATAACATTTTATATTAAATAAAAATATTTAAATTAGTTTACAATACAAAACAAAGGCTAATTTTTTAAAATAAATTTTATTGTTTATGAAATTAGCACAAAACAGTATATTAATAGTTGAGTGCAGCAGTATTTGTAGACACCATACACAGCTTTCCCTGAATTTATTCTTCACATTTCATTGCAGTTTCATTTGTTTAAGACTCATTCATTGTTTTCTCTTTTCTTTGTTAGTTCTTCTCAAGCATGTCTTTATATAGGTCCCTGTCTTGTCCAGAGAATGGCCTTTTATTCTCTCAGGTGTGTAGGCGGAGTGATGCGGGATCAGGTGTTGGATCGCTCTTTAAAAGCATGTGTTATTCTCAGTAGTTCAGTAACTGCTTTCACTGGAGCGTCACACCTGCAAATGGAGTGGCTTCAAGTCTTTGGAGTCCTGGCATGTTTACTACTCTGCAGTGGAACTCTAACCTCGCCAAGGTTGGTTAAATTTACAGTCCTCTTATAACCTGTTTATCACTTGTCCTTAAAAAAAATTACATTCTCAAAACTTTTTTGTCTCTTGACAAGTATCTAGTTTTTTTTTTCATGCTTCAAGACATTGTAATTTTAATACAGACTACCGTTCAAAGGTTTAGGGCAGTGGTCGCCAACCCGTCGATCGCGATCGACTGGTAGATCTTTATCACTGTGCCAGTAGATCCCGAAAATAACATTAAAATAAGTACAAAAATGCATTACATTTCTGGGGTTATATTAATGTATCACTGAAGGGAACTGTCTTGAGAAGCCAATTTGCTAGTTAAAAAAAAAAGAAAGAAAGAAAAAAGGAAATCTGAAGTCTGAATCAGCTATGATCGGAGCATCACTAATTAAAATACTAAGTAAAAGGCCTCAAATTTGAAGTACAATCTGGGATGTCTTTTTCTATCAATTCTTCAATAGGTAGATCTTGTCTTTCATAAAGGCAGAGGTCAGGGATCTTGGGCCTAAAAAGGTTGGTGACCACTGGTTTAGGGGTTGGTAAGATAAAATAAATAAATAATGAAATAAAATGTCTCTTCTGCTCACCAAGGCCGCATTTATTTGCTTGAAAATTCATGCAAAAACTGTAATATTGTGAAATATTATTACAATTAAAAATAGCTGTTTTCAATTTTAATATATTTGAAAATGTAATTGATTCCTGTGGTCAAAGCTGCATTTTCAGCATCATTACTCCAGTTTTCAGTGTCACATGATCCTTCAGAAATCATTCTGATATGCTGATTTGCTGCTCAAGAAACATTTCTGATTATTATCAACAGTTGTGCTGCTTAATGTTTTTTTTTCAGGATCCTTTGATGATTTTTTTTTAATGTGTCTCTATTATAATCCTATGAAAAATAAGACATTTTCTAATTTCAGCCCAGCACAGAATCCCTCCTATCTCATATCCGTCTCTGAAGTCCTGCGCTGTGGCGTTCCGACCACTTTATCAGTCAGCGTTCTGGCAGATTATCCCATCAAAGTCACGGCTGAACTCCTCCATGGAAACAGCAGTGTGGCCCAAACAGAGAGCACCATCCCAGCAGGTAAATCACCATCATTTGACTTTTTATTGTGTTATTTTATTGCATTGCATTGAATTACCATCTGGCTCATCCCACATTTGTATATCTCCTATACATATATGTAAAACATTTATTATGTTAGCTCGACAAAACCAACATATACTGTTTGGTAAACTTGGGTTAGGTTTATTTTTATTTTATCTTATTATTTTATTTAGCAGAAGTGAACTCGAAATTTTTTATCTTAGTTTATGTAATGTTATGTTTCAGCACGGGACAATTAATAATTGAAAAGCCGATATATGCAGAAAATCAGTATTAAATTATTTCTAAAAAGCACCTTGCAGTTTCTGAAGTTCATCAATTATTAACATGTATTCAAATGAATTGATTTAGCCCGAGATGCAATGCAATGCATTTTCTTAAATCCTAAACACATTATTTGTCTAACAGAGTCTAACATTCAAAATCACACTGTCTAACTGGAAAAGTGACCTTATTAGAATAACCTATACAATGTACATATGATATTATATAATATACAACTCCACCCTGTTCAAACAAGTATTCATGTCTGCTCTGCATTCATTTTAAAGGCTCTACCAGACTGCTGGCTCTTCCGCCTGTGAGTATCAAGACTGTAATTTCCATGAATGGATCTTCTCCAACCAGATGGTTGTATTAGTACAGAGTTGCAGAGCTTACTGTGCGTTGTTTTCCCTCCGCAGGTCTTTTCTGATGACATGAGTTACTGGTATCCATATCAGCTGGATGTTAAGGGGTTTGTTGGAGCTAATCAAGTGTTTTCCAACTCCACCACGATGGTCTTCAGCCCCAAGTGCATGTCCATCTTTATCCAGACCGACAAGAACAACTACCGACCAGGGCAGACGGTGAAATTTCGGGTTGTATCGGTTACACCTGAAGGAAAGCCGTCCAAGGGTCAGATCGATATTTTCATTAGGGTGGGTGTCTGGAGAGTTTGGCCTAAAACCCCCTTAGTTGTTCTAAATTCAGTGTAAGCCATGGCTTCATGGGGCTTATTGCTTTCATAAAACGGTTACCACACGATACATATATTAAATGCAAAATATGTGTATTAATTAGGGCTGTCAGTCGATTAAAATTTGTAATCTTAATTAAATGATGTGGCGATTAATTGATCAAGTTAATCGCAAATTAAATTTGGCTGTGAAAATATGCACAAAACATAATTTAAAGCCATTATTGGGTTAAATGAGAAAAGTATCAAGTAGACATTACAAAAAGTAGCTTTAGAAAAAAATATTTTATTTGATTCAACAAAATTGATTACACGTCAACATTTAGGCTACAACAGCCTATAACATAAACTAAACATAATTTGAGAAACATCTCAGTATTTCTTGTTCATATAATGAAAGTAACTGGTAACCAAAAGAGCCTGGTTACCAACAATTTTCAAACTATCTTCTTTTATGTTCCACAAAAGTAAGTCATACAGGTTTGTGTGAACAGGTTTTGTGTTCATTTTTGTGTGAACTATCCCTTAAATGTTATTTTGTTATCTTAAATGTTATTTATTTGTTTATGAATGAATGAATGATTTTTTTAATGCAATTATACTAAACTAAAAAAACTAAAAACTAAATTGATATTAAACTAAAACGGCGGTAAATGTCTTTATGAGTCAGTCACTGAGTCATTCATTCATTCGATTCCTTCAAACTACTGATTCATTCAGGAATGAAGTAAATGGCTCTCTTTATGAATGGGCCATTGAACTGTTGTATAAAATCACATTTGCGTCAATATGCAATATGCAAACTAAAAAAACTAAAAACTAAATTGATATTAAACTAAAATGGCGGTAAATGTCTTTATGAGTCAGTCATTGAGTCATTCATTCATTCGATTCCTTCAAACTGCTGATTCATTCAGGAATGAAGTAAATGGCTCTCTTTATGAATGGGCCATTGAACTGTTGTATAAAATCACATTTGCGTCAATATGCAATATGCATGTGGACTTTTGACTACAGTTTCATGTCATCTAAAGTCTTTATTTATAGTTATGGTAACTAACATACTCATAATTCATAAAGATAAATTTTTTATGTTAGTATAGCCTATTCATCAGACAATAATTACACAATTTTGATTATGTAAAACCAACAACATCACAGCAGCAGTTTTAAAGATGTTTTCTTTGGATTGTTTGACTACTCAAAAGAGAATAAAATATTTTCTTAACTTCTTAACTTAATTTGTTTCCTCCTAGCTAAATTTGATCTAGACAAACCAAACCTCTGTTCATCCTAAAGCAGTCAAAACTATATCTCTATATTCATCCTATATGTGTCCTCTTATATGAGACAAAACCTCATACGGGGGCTTTTTTTTTGCCCCAATATCTTGAATTTTAGGGGCATATAGCTACAGTTATGGACTACATTACGCAGTGATTTGTTGCCCTGCATCATGTTTGTCAACAATCAACTGTATTAAATGTAAGTTGATGTACAGGTCTGGGGCGGGGCCAGTGCGTTAACTGTGTAAAAATATTTTAATCGCGTTATTTTTTCATAATTAAATTAACATGTTAAATTGACAGCCCTAGTAATGCTTTTTAAAAGTTAAATCATTAAATGCCACCAGTCGCCTAGAAAAATAAATCCCTGACAGTAAAGCCAATAGTAACATGCAAATCAAAACAGATACTGGAACTGTTCTCATGTGCTGCTATTTATTTATTTATTTATTTATTTTTAACAATGTATATTTCCTCACGCACATACATCTGCTTATTTCTCAGCAAACTACTCTTATAGTTTAAATCAGAGCCGATGATAAAGAGACAACATTAATATGTTCTCATACTCCTTGGCAGTTAAAAGTGACTGAACACCTTAAAATTGTTATTTTAGCACCACTGGTAGAAACTGAACAGATGCATCAGCAGTGTCCTCATGAAATGGATTGACTGTTTTTGTGTGTTTTAAATGTGAACAGGATCCCAAGGGGAATATGATTCGACAGTGGCTGTCTGTGGATGGTTTTCTAGGTGTTGTTTCGAAAGAGCTGAACCTCTCTCAGAACCCGCCGCTCGGCCTGTGGAAAATTGTAGCTGGAATCAATGTGAGTTGTGTGAAAACTTGAGTGGAAAGTTGCCTTTTTTCAAAACCCCTAAACCTAAAGTATAAAACTTTGACATGTAATTGGTGCTCTTTACACAATTCTAACACTTATTTTTGTATTCATGCAGGATGTTGTACATGAGAGAGAGTTCACTGTGGACTACTATGGTGAGATTTCACATATGCTGCAAATCTTTTATGATCTATGTTTTGTTAAGACAGCAGTCTTCAATAGCATGTGTTTACAGCGCTGCCTAAATTCGAGGTGAACGTGGACGTCCCCTCCGTCCTGCATTATGAAGACATACTGACCGGGACGGTCACAGCCAAGTGAGCGTTTGTCCTGAACAGTAGTCTGAAAATTCAATAGAAACACAAAATTCATACTTTTTCCTCTGTTCTCAGATATTTTTATGGGAAGCCCGTCAGTGGGATGATGTCTGTCACATATTTTCACTTTTTTAATGGGCTTAATAAGCATTACCAACTCAAAGAAACAGTGAGTACCGTTTCAGGAGAAACATCTACATTTGAAACCAAGGATGCACCGATACTAAATTTCTCAGCCGATACTGATAGTGATAGCTTTGTTTTCTTAAGGAAAAAAAATCTCTCCCACCTAATTCTGTAAACGATACAGGCTAAAATTAACAACAAAACTATTATATTAATTACTATTCAGTGTTTCCCCTAGGTTTACAGCTTTTGGGGGGTAAATTAAATTTGTCTAATTAATTAAAATCATGAAACTTAAACAATTTAACATCAATTTATTAAAAGTTAAACAAAAATTAAATTTTTAGGGCCCTATGAAATGTTTTATTTTTTATTGTTACCAAATTGTGTTTTAGCATGTCTAATTATCTGAAAGCATAAAAACAAGTTTCATTTATTCTTACAATAGCCTTATGATTTTTGCTCAGAAATTCTGTGTCGTGCATTTACATTTTTTTAAGGCATAAAACATTAATTTAATCTATCTTTTAAGTAATGAAAATTAAACAAATTTTATTTTTTGGAAAATAAAGGTCATTTCATATTACAATTAAAACACTGAAGAAATATTGTATGATTATTCCTTAAAAATAAGGTTTTAATCATTTTAGTAGTAGTAGTAGCAGCCTGTTACGTACATTCTACTCAACAATAGTAATATATTTCTGCCAATGCCCTCGAATTAAACCGAACTTTTATTTTGACGGGTTGCCGTGAATACCTTTACATTTCTGTGTATATATGAGGATAGTTTTACTCAAATGAAACGGTCAAATGCTCATGAAGTGACTCTCAGAGCAGTTCTGGAGATGTTGTTCATGTATTTATGTCCTCATTTAGTGAGACAGCAGACGTTAATATCACCGGAAGCGTCACGCGCGCTTCAGTACCAGTGGTAAACAAAACCGCATGTCTGCGCCATTCTTTTACACAGAGACACGCAGAATTCATATTTATTTTCGGAATTCATATTTATTTTCGTAAATGTTTGTATAGCCTACAACTCGATACTTTTCATAAAAACATGTCATGAAAGATTTATTCAGACATACATACATAATTAACAGTAAGCTCCCCCTAGTGTTTTATAGCTAACTAATGAACTGTGAACACTGCACAACGTTCCTGAGGTAAATGCATTGTCAAGTGACATATTGTTCAAAAGCTGTTTTATTTGATGTCTTTCTTTTGGTTGAAAAGCTGATTGAGTGAGTACAGGAGACATTATGCATTGCTTTTATCGGCAGATACGGATTATTGGCCGATACATTGGTGCATCCCTATTTAAAACCCCATGCATTGAATTTAAAGTCAACATTTTGTTAACCGTTAATCAGACTCATTATCTCTGGTGTAGATTGACGGTTCTGCTGCTATCACATTTGATGTGCCGTACTCCAAACGGTTAGGTGACCACACATACTCATATTACGATGGATATGGGCCCAGTGAATATGTGGACATTAGTGTGAATGTCACAGATGTTACAGGTGCGTCCCGTCCTGCCTGTACATGGCTATCAAACATTAATAACATGAACTAAACTGCATTCAAATTAATACACAAATCGAGATGTCCTTTCAGGTTTTGTTTGAGCTGTTTTCATTTCTCTGTCTGTAGGGTTAACCTACAACAGCAGCGCGAGGGTTTCTATTGTGAAGAATAAATACAATCTGGAGTTTCTGCAGCATCCGCAGATCATAAAACCCTCCACGACCTTCACTGCTCAGGTAAAGACAGATTAACATTACATTTCAGTCCATATTTGGGGTAAACTGGGTGAATCATGAGGTCATGTTTCACCCTAAAATCAAAAAAGAAAAAAGAATTATACACAAAAAATGAATTATTATTATTTTATTATTTTCATGACAATCAACCAAAATTGTGTGATGTGTCTATGTATCATTGCCGTAATGCAGGTATATTTGACTTTATTACACAAAATTACTGTAATAATTTTTTAGTAAAATCAGCAGTACAAAAAAACCTACAATGATTTATAAATAATGTAGATTTATATAATATACAATTACACATTATTGACAGTAAACCCATTCAGAAAACCTTAGCAACTGCAGCAACAGGCTAAAAACCTCCAAGAACACTATATCAACACACTAAAACCTACAAAGAACAGCTGAGCAATTGCTTTCGGCGGCATCCAGTTCATTCTTACTCAGCACATCGTCCAAGGTTTTCTCAGTGGTTTTTAGTGTGCTTTATTATTATTATTATTATTATTATTTACATTAATGTCAGTATTTAAATGATATATCAGTATTTTTCAAATGAATGAGAGTTAGGATGTGTTAGTTGTCATGAAAATAATGTCACAATGCAAAAATCTTAATGGTTCTAAAGAATGAAGGAATGGGGTGAAGGAATGTCATTATGCAAAAAATATTCTAAAAAAGACAACAATAAAGTTTTATTTTCTTTATGCATTTTCTTGTATTTATTGATTTGTTTTCATTAATTTATATATATATATATGTTTAATTTTTGTAAAACATGACCCAGACATGATCTAACATGACCAATGGATTCATCCTTTAAAATTCTTTTAAAATTTTTATTTTATAAGCTGAAGTTAAGCACCTATGACAGCCGGCCACTGACAGCTGAAGAGCAGAGCAGAAGTGTGCGGCTGGCGGTGACCCAGCACAAGTTCAGCCCCTGGACGTGGACGTGGAACAACGACGAATCCCTGGCACCTCGCATGATGAACAACACACCGGCGTCCAGCTTCTCTTCCATTTACGATATTCCAATTGAAAATATCGATCTTCCTGTTACTGCTGATGGCATGATGTCTTTTCAGATTCACCTCTCTGACAGCGTTGCCACACTTGATATAGAGGTGCGAACACTTCATCCACGCTTTCCACCGCCTTGATATCCAAGATGCATAGTAGAAACATGTCAATTGGGATAAGGCTTGGCACTTGACATCTCTTCCTCCTAATGTTGCTTTCAGGCCCGGTTTAAAGATACAGTCCAGGGTCTTCAGCTCTACAGGAGTTATTCTTCACCAAGCAGATCCTACATACAGCTTCACAGAGACAGTGAGCCTCAGGTACTCAAGCCGTTTGAATTTCATGTTATTTCACATTATTTTTGTTTTCACTGTGTTTTCACTGACAGAGTGACTTTTGCAGGTTGGACAGCCGCTGTATTTGACTTTGGAGAGCAATTTTAACCTGGCAGAAGTTCAATACCTTGTAAGTATTTTGAATAAAGCGATACTGCATCCATTTTTAAGACAAAAATTTAACTATTGAGCCAATGCTGATAAACCCTATATGAGAAACCTCCATTTGTCAATCAATCAATCAATCAATCAATCAATCAATCAATCAATCGAAGTCAAAGTTCAAACAACCTTTTTGAAATAGGAGATTTCATGATGGGTTTCAATTCTGCAGTTTATTTATAATTATTTATTAATTTAGAAATGTGTGTAGAATTAGTTTTACTGAAATTATAGAGTTTGTTTTACTGAAATTATGTTTAATTTATTTAATTATATGTAATCCATTACATTTAATTGTGAATAATGGGAACCTGCTAATGCATTACTAAATATTAATATTTAAATGTTAATAATATATTAATTAAACATTATTTCATTTAGTTTTTTATATATATATATTGAAGAAAATTAGACATTTAAAAATAAAATACATTTATTTTGCATTACAGACTAAGTGGTGTTTAATCTAAAATAATATGATTAAGTCCAGTACCGTTGAAAAAAAAGAAGTACACTTTTGCATACTTTTGCATATAAGTACATAAGAGTACTTATTACAGAAATAATATACTTTAAATGAATATACAAACTGAATGTAATGTTTTCACTATATTGCATGTTGGTTGCAATTAAATCAAAATTGATTGTATTTTAAATTTAGATTAAATGCAATTATTTGAACTTATGAGTGCTTTTTTGAGCAGCGTAATTAGGACTTAAAGGGATAGTTCACACATTTTTTTTTGTTTTGTTCAGTGAAAAAAAATTACCCCATGATTTACACACCTTCAAGCCATCCTAGGTGTATATGACTTTATTCTTTCAGATTCTTTACAGAGTTATATTAAAAAACGTCCTGGCTCTTCCACGCTTTATAATGGCAGTAAATGGCTGTTGAGATTTTGAAGTCCAATAAAGTGCATCCATCCATGCACTTTATTGGGGGGAGGGGGGTTAATAACGGCCTTCTGAAGCAAATCAATGCTTTTGTATAAGAAAAATATCCATATTTAAAACTTTATAAGCCGTAATCTCTAGCTTCCGCTAACTGTCGTACGCTCCTTCACGAGAGAGTCTCTTGGCTTATGTCGAATCCTCTTGACATTTTTCTATACAAATCCTCATTTTGTACTTCTTATTCATGACCGGTGTTTTGTTTTGCTCTCTCCTCTGCTCTTTCATCACTTCTTACCGGAGCTTACACTACGCTTTCTTACACAAACACATCGATTCGCTTCAGAAGGCCTTTATTAACCCCCCGGAGCCATGGGGAGTACTTTTCATGATGGGTGGATGCACTTTATTGCACTTCTAAAACTCAACAGCCATTCACTGCCATTATTAAGCTTGGAAGAGCCAGGACATTTTTTTGATATAACTCCGATTGTATTCGTCTGAAAGAACAAAGTCATATACACCTAGGATGGCTTGAGGGTGAGTAAATCATGGGGTAATTTTTGGGTGAACTATCCCTTTAAGTACATCTTTATATGTCATTTCATAATTACGTTTTTGTCTTTGAAATATGGTTGAAGTGTACTGCTGAATGTACTGACTGGTATTTATGGTAAACTAAAATATACTACACTGCCTAAACTTGTATTTAAGCATGCATTTAAATATATTAGTAAAGATTAAGTTGCAATTTAGTACATTTCAAAAACTTTAAATGCAATATTGAATAAAACACTACAGTTAAATTATAATTAAATGCTTTTCATGTGTTTTAGTATTAGTATGTTAGTACTTCTTTAAAGCACAACAAAACGTTATCAAATTTTTAAAACATTTTTCTTTTTATACTTTTTATTTCATTAATATTATATGTATAGTTTTTTTTTTATATATGGGGACATCTGTTGCAAAATTCACTTTTACACGTTGTTTGCATATAAATGTGTCTTAGCAGTGCAACCACCCTACAATGATAAAAATCAACTCACTCCTTTTTTTAATCCCTAATATTTAATCCCGCTGACGGACTGTCCCATATTAGCATATTTCCGCCCTCAGCCAGTTGTACGCTGTCCACCATTTTCTCCGCGTTCGAGCAGCTGTAGTCTCGTAAGCAATGTAGTTGGATGTAAAAGTGAACATAAGTCTTCATTTTTTCCCGACATGAGAGCCACTGAGGACGCAGTGGATGAGTTTTGTTTTTGATGGTAACGCACCAACCAAACTCACAAAAAATGGAAGAGAGGGGTCGGTGAGCAGTAGCTCATTAGCATTTAAAGAGACATGCACCGAAACGGGCCGCTGTGAACAGAGCTGTTTTTGACATGGTAAAAAGTGTGTTGTTTTACACGACCATTGAGGAATTTTAACCAAAGTATGTTACAGACATTTCATGAAGACCCTAAAGAATCATACCAACTTGTGGAAAATGGGCATCCGATGTCCCCTTAAAGATCTGAAGTACACTACAAGTGCACATTCAGTATGATTAAGCACAAAAGGGTATCCTAAAAGGGTATCCTGTTAATGATATCAGTTGTAAGTCATTGGGACATTTCTGAGAATGAGCCTGTATTGATGGATGTGTTCTGCAGGTGATGTCCCGCGGTCAGGTGTTGGATGCTGGGACGGTGCATTCCTCCTCCTTCAGTCTGAACACAGATCACTCTTGGACTCCAGTGGCTTGTGTGGTGGTGTACCACACGCTTCCAGACGGAGAGATCGTGAATGATGCTCTGCAAGTTACTTTCACACAAGTCCTGAGAAACACAGTAAGAGTTCATTACGGGATATTCACATATATATGTTTGGAAATACAACATAGTAAAGATCAAGATGGAAATTAATAAATGTGATTGAATTTATTTCTAAATTAAATAAATGCCTTTGTAATCATTGTTTTAGCCTACTGTTGTAGGTATTCTGCTTAATATTACAGAAAAAAAGCAAATAATGATAGACTTGGTCAAAAGGTCTTCTTAAAAGTGTTTCATACTCAGTTCCTGATGGATTTTCTCATGAATTATCCTGTTTTAAAATACGTCCATTTTAAGACATTGAACTATTGACTATTCAACTTGATGAAACCAATGCTGATAAAGAATGTTTGTCAAAAATAAATGAATAAATAAATAAATGCATAAATATGAAGTCAGAAAAGAAAACTAAGAAAAATTCTGCAATTCTGAAATTGTAGTAGTTTAAAAAAAATTTAAATTCTATTTAATTAATTTGGACATGCAAATACTAAAGCAAAATATCTTTAAAATTAGTGCAAAATTAGTACAAAAAACTTATCTTTACTAAACCAGTGTTTCATAATTAATGACTTACCTGACTTAAATATTTACCAAAATATTGGTCCTATGTAAAAATATATAGTACAATAATAATTAGCACCACAGAATTACAGAAGAACCATAAAATAATTTAAGTGAAACAAATTTTTGTTACATTGTATATATCATTTATTTATGAGTTATGAATTATAAATAATATCATATAAATGAATATACATAAGTGTGAACTGAATGTAATGTTTGTTTTTTTTGCAATAAAATAAAAAATGTGTTGTAGTTTAAATTTGTATCAAATGCAGTCATTTGACCGTTGAATTATTCTAGTTGAATATCCTGTTTCATGCTGAAATTTGTCACATTATTGAAGTAAAATGGGTTGCAGTGTCATTATAATAATCATTTTTACATGATCTCAATTGCAGGTATCTCTGAGCTGGAGTCAGGATCATGCCGAACCAGCAGATTCTGTCTTTCTCTCTGCTTCTGTTTTCGAGGACGGGTCTCTGCTGGGAATTCTGGTGGTGGACAAAGCAGCATTGGACTCCAGCAAAGACAATGGCATTACAGAGAAGACGGTAATATGGTCTTATACAGATTCGTGACATCAACACTGGGCAATATGGAGAGCCTTTGTTTTCCGAGTTTCTCTCCTGATTTCTTATCTTGTTCAGTGTATTGACTTTTAAAGTGTGGGAAATCATCTTTGGGATTTTCAGACGATTGTTTTGCCCACAAAAAGATCACACGATAACTATAACTAGTCATCCTATGTAACCAAACGCCGACACCACGCCTGCGTTTCACTTTTAGACAAAAGAAAGAAACCGAGAGGAACTGTGTTTATCAGAACTAGGTGAACATGTTTGGTAGTACAGACACCATTGTGTTGTTCGGTTTGTTGTTCTGGATTCACAACAATAGCTGGTTTGTGATTGCCAAACGGAAGCTTGTTCTATTCACATGATGTCTGGCATCACAAAAACTGATCAAAACTAATCTAAGATCAGCAACATGAGCTTCTGTGTGTGTTTTTCAGGTGCTGGAAGAATTTATGTCATATAGCAGAGAGATGACCGATACGGATTACAGCAGCGTGAAAATGGGAGATCCGTATTCCATATTCATGGTAGATCAGATACATGAATGTCATCTGATGCTTGATTTTTATCTCAGGAACAGAACTTGTATCATTTGTCCGCAAGGGTTTATGGTTATTGTTTTATTCTGCAGACGTGCGGCGTCACGGTTCTGACTGATGCCATGCTGAATCAGGAAATTAATCAGTTTTTCCCTGCGTTCCGTAAGTCTTAAGGCTGAACCTGCCCTAGCAACCACTCAGAACACCTTAGCAACCACCTAGTAGTAACCAATTAAAACAGAGTAACATCACGTTAGCGAGTTTTGCACTCACATTTCCTTAAGGCGAGGTGAACACGGTACAGTTTTTAACTAGTAGATATCATCATACCGCTTTCGCTTATTAATCACAGTACATTAAGACATTAGATTTTGTATGGAAAGTTATGGTCAAATATGCAAAGGAGGCATTATATAATTACATATGCACTAATTTGCATACATTTCCAGAACAGAAATCTGAAAATTGACTAAAGCCAGGTTCAAAATTCTTGTTTCATTTTGCTGAGTTGACAGGGGATTTTGAATATCTCTTTCATCACTCCATAAATCAGAAAACACTGTCAACAGCAGTAAATCGGCATATCAGAATGATTTCTGAAGGATCATGTGACACTGAAGACTGGAGTACTGATGCTGAAAATTCAGCTTTGATCACAGGAATAAATTACATTTAAAAATATGTTCAAACAGAAAACAGTTGTTTTACATTGTAATAATATTTCACAATATTACTGTTTTATTTTTGATCAAATAAATAAAGCATAAGAGACATCTTTATTATACATATTCCTAGATGAGTATTCCTACAATGTCTGTAAGCTACTGACACAGTAGGAATAAAAAATGAACACTAAAATGTGTATTTCAAATGTTTTCTTTCCACTAGTCTGAAAGAAGAAATGTACTGGAAGCAAAGATAAAATCTCAAAATTAACCAGTACATGAAAAAACAATGGTTTTGCCTGTAATGTCTAGCCTTTTCATATTAATTTTCTCACTAAAGCTCATATGTTCCACAGCAGGGGCGGAACTCTATCTGAATCAGCTGGGCAGCGAGGCTTTTCAGGAGCCCAGAAAGCGAAAAGACTTTCCTGAAACCTGGATCTGGCTGGATGCTAATGTGAGGTATGAGGAGAAATATGTCTGTCCTCGAGCTGATTTTAACTAGGAAATAACAAGAAATCACAAATGAGATCTCTTTAATATCCCAGTTGTTTCTCCTAGACAGCAATGAGCGAAGCAACTTTTGCTTTAGTCTGCTGCTGATTTTTTCCTAGTAACTTCACATGCGTCTCCTGTAGAGTTTCACAAGAGATCTCAACAAATATATGCCAGTATGCCAAAGTCTAAAACCAACAGTCAGAGATCTCAATTTTATTTTACTTAAATGCTTAAATTATTCATTACTGTTCAAAAGTTCGATTTTTTTCCATCGTTTTTTAAAGATGATTCTTAGGCTGACAAAGTCTTCATTTATTTGATCAATAATAATAATAATAATAATAACAATACAGTAAAAACATTAATATTTTGAAATATTATTGCCATTTAAAATAACATTGGTATTTATACTTTAAAGACACATCTCTACCACTATAATACAGTGAGCATAAATATAATACAGATTCACACAGTACTCTATGTGTGTTCATTCTTGAAGATGCAGTGGATCTCAACTGGTGTGTGATCAAAGATATGGAGGTCATCGAGCTGAACAAGCGGGCCTCGGGCCAAGCATTTGAGGTGATCCTGAAACCCCCCTCTTTTGACGGCGTGCCTGAGCTTAACACATCTATGCCCCAGCGTAAGGACCCCTCTCTGGAGGAGATCCAGAAGAAACTGGAAGCCGCTGAGGAGAGGCGGAAGGTTGGAATTTACACCCAAACCATCCCTCTCTTTGGTCTGATTTTGATGCTGAAACAGTATTCTTCTCTCCAGTTTCAGGAGGCTGAGATGTTAAAGCATCTTGCAGAGAAGAGGGAGCATGAGAGAGAGGTCATCCAGAAGGCCTTTGAGGAGAACAACAACTTCATTAAGTATGCTAAAGAGAAGTTGGAGCAGAAGATGGAGGCCAACAAAGAGAACCGCGAGGCTTTGCTTGCCGCCATGCTGGAGAGACTACAGGAAAAGGTACGAACTAACTGAAAGGGATGTAAAGTACTTTATTACAGCACTTAGTCAATGTGAATTGCTTTATTTTTTAAACAATAAAAATAAATTATTTAAAGATTATTTCTAATGAAAATTTATTTAATTTGACTATGCATAGCTAAAACATTCAACTTTACTAAGAACGTTGTTACTCTTAAAAAATATAATTAGGCCTACAATCAAATATGGAAACTTTTTTTTTTTCTTTTACCTTCATACATATAATTTTTCATATAAATTCAATACCAATCCAAAGTTTGGGTTTTATAGGATTTAAAAAAAAAAAAAAAGTTTAACGTATCTTACGCTTACCTAGGCTGCCTTTTTTTCTTTTCTTTTTTTTTTAGTAAAAATGTTTTTAAAAATAGTAGTAGTTAATAGTAAAAATAATATTTGCTCACCAAGGCTGCTTTTTTATTGTAAAATAATAAAAATAGTAAAAATATAAAAAATAGAACTAGTACATAGTAAAAATAGTAATATTTTGAAATATTATTGCCATTTAAAATAACAGTTTTCTATGTGAATATATTGTAAAATGCAATTTATTCCTGTGATGCAAAGCTGAATTTTCAGCATCATTACTCCAGTCTTCAGTGTCACATGATCCTGTAGAAATCATTCTAATATGCTGATTTGCTGCTCAAGAAACATTTCTGAATATTATCAGTGTTGAAAACAGTTGTGCTGCTTCATAATTTTTATGTAAACCATGATACATTTTTTCCCAGAACACTTTGATGGGTAGACAGTAAAAATAAAGCAGCATTTATTTGAAATAGATTTTTTAAATATTATAAATATCTTTACTGTCACATTTGATTTCTTTGATTTTTTAAGTCAGAAAATTGAGCAAATTTCAATTTCTTTTTTTTTTTTTCCTAAGAATGATCTGAGCTTCTATCTACATTTAATGTCAACAATTTACTAATTTGTGCCTGTTTTTATTTCTTACGTTGCAGCAATTCTGTCTCGGATTCCTTCCATTTCACTGTGCCGGACAGCTTGACCTCTTGGGTGGCCTTTGCCATCGTGATGTCAGAGAATATGGGTTTGGGCATCAGCGCTCCTGCAGAGGTGATGCACCATGTACAGTTTACCTATCACTGAATGTTAATATATATAATAGAGATAATGATTATTAAAAAGGAGTTTCTTTTCCAGCTGACTGTGTTCCGAGATTTCTTTGTGTCACTGAATCTCCCGGAATTCCTGATCCGTGGAGAACTGCTACTGCTGGAAGTCAATTTATTCAACTATATGGATGCAGATTTGGAGGTGAGATTTGTGTTTGTAAAAGTTCAGGTGTTGTTCACTGATATGTCTGAGTTTCTAAACTTTGATTAATTCATAAAAGAAAACACATTTATTAGTGTTTGTTAAAGGAATAGTTCACCCAAAAATGAAAACTTGCTGAAAATGTACTCACCCTCAGGCCATCCAAGATGTAGATGAGTTTGTTTCTTCATCAGATTTGGAGAAATGTAGCATTGCATCACTTGCTCAGCAATGGATCCTCTGCAGTGAATGGGTGCCGTTAGAAGAGAGTCCAAACAGCTGATAAAAACATCTCAATAATCCACAAGCAATCCACACCACTCCAGTCCATCAGTTAATGTCTTGTAAAAAAGCTGCATGATTGTAAGAACTTTAAACCATCGCTTTTAACTTTAAGCCGTCGCTTCTGGCCAAAATACTATAATCTATAAGCCATAATAACGCTTCCTCAAGTAAAAAAGGCCATCCCTTATTGTCCTCTCACATCAATATCCACCCACATGTTTTGACATGTAAACAGTCCTCGATCTGTGCACATTTCTCTTCTGATTCAGATGAGACAAAATATTTAACTGGAGAAAGCAATATTATAGATGGAGCACTGTTTTAACCAGAAAAATAGTTTGAAGTTAAAAACATCTTAATGATGGATTTGTTTCTTACAAACAATTTTTCTCTAGCCAGAGGGACTGGAGCAGTCGTTCACTCAAACCTTGTTTCTGGAGTTTCAACTGAAGCAGAAAACGCTGACTAGGACAATGTCGTTTAGTTTTCCTCCAAATGTGGTTCCTGACAGTCAAAGGGCCAGCGTGTCTGCTGTGGGTGTGTGTCCTCACTCTGTATTTCTATTCTAAGAGCACTATATCAGTCTGATTTTGCATTAATGAGTGAAAACATCTGTCCTCTATGTGTCTGTGTTGCAGGTGACATTCTGGGCCCATCCATTGACAATCTGGACTCTCTAATTGAGATGCCTTATGGTTGTGGTGAGCAGAACATGATCCATTTTGCTCCGAATATTTATGTTCTCCAGTACATGAGAAGCACCAAGCAGAGCGATGAACAGACCAGAAACAAAGCTATGAGCTACATGATGGAAGGTGAGCGGTGTGTAGTCTTTAGGGCTGTCAAAAAATAATTCAAATTTCGAATATTCGTCGAATTAAAAATAAAAATCAACATTCGAATGCAAAAACGTTGCATTCGAATTCTAGGTGTGCGTTAAGGAGGCAGCCTTATCAGTGGCGCACGAGATGCGATGACGATGTAGGCTAAGTGTCGTTGCATGATAATGTTTTTGTTAGCCTATCCAGTTGAAGCCACTAGATGCGGCGCTGCTGCGTTGTTAATTACAACCTCGTGTTTTTAAATGAAAAATGTAATCTGTGTGATGCTGTTTTGTTTATAGTTGTTTAAGCAACTTAATTAATTATAATTGGTTTATAAACACTATTTTAAACATGTTATCTTAAATGCTTTGAATAAACGTGCGTTGGTCGATGCGCCCTCTTGTGGCCTCAGGAGAGAAGCCAAAAGCTTTTATTCACCCTAACTGAAATTATGCATTTTAAATTCGAATATAATTAGAATTTTTATAACATTTAAGTACAAAATTCGAATTTAGTTTTTCAGCCATTTTGACAGCCCTAGTAGTCTTATAGTACTATAAATGTCCTTGAGTTGTCATATAATATCATATATCACATTCTGTTTGATTGCAGCTTATGAACGTGAGCTTTCTTACCAAAGGTTTGATGGCTCCTTCAGTGCTTTTGGAGACAGTGATGATTCTGGCAGCACATGGTAAACAAAAATAAGCACATCACAGTGTAAATTCTACCCCTAAATTCTGATTTGGAGTAAATATACCAATTTTAATATTGGTGGTGTGTTTTATGATATTCAGGCTGTCAGCGTTCGTGCTCAGGTGTTTCCTCCAGGCTCAGGACTTCATTTCCATTGACCTGATGGTGATGCAGAGGACAGCATATTGGCTGCTGGCCCATCAGAACCCTGACGGTTCGTTCAACGAGCCGGGTCGGGTCATCCACACAGAGCTCCAGGGAGGACTGAATGGGCCGGTGTCTCTCACAGCGTACGTCCTCATAGCGCTTCTGGAGGACGCTGAATACAGGGTGATTCTTAGACTGAATGATTGAACGATAGATGGATTGATCGATAGATCGACTGAACGTAGAAAGGATGGACGGATTGATTGAAGACTATCTGTTTGTGTCTCTGGTAGAGTACATATGAAGGCAGCATTTCTTCTGCTGTGAGTTTCCTGACATCTCGACTGGCTCAGGGAATCTCCAGTAACTACAGCCTGTCTTTAGTGACCTATGCTCTGTCACTGGCAAACAGCACCGCCGGCCCATCTGCCCTCACCGAGCTGTTGAACAGAGCACTAATTGTTGGTAAATATCCTCTGGATTTACACTCTGAGGACAGCACGCCACAGATGTGAAACATACACACGAGGCTGAAAATAACCTGCAGTTGTCCTTTAAATCCACACAGTGTGGCGACCAGCTGTAGTGTTATGGATGAGCGTCGTACCTGGCACAGTAAAATGTGTTAGATGCTAATGTGTTTATAATCGTTGGATGGTGACGTTGTATCTGGGTCTTTCAGATGGAGTGCCAACCTGGAGATCTCCAGCTAACGTCCTGTATAATTCCTGGCAGCCAAGTTCATCAGATATTGAGATGTCGGCCTACGTATTGCTCGCCATGCACAGACTCAAACTAATGGATGAAGGATTCACTCTGGTGAAGTGGCTCAGTAAGCAAAGAAACCATCAAGGGGGATACGGATCCACTCAGGTACATATCAAACAGACATTCATCTCACGAGAGAGACAATAGAAACCGTTTAAACGGAACAGAACGGCTGACTAAAAGGCACTTTTAGGCATTCAGGCTCCCGAAATGAATGTCAGCATTTTAAAAAGGCTAAATTGCCTACAACAGCATTCTAAAACACTGGCTAAATAGTTATTTTTTATCATAGTTTCCACAAAAATATGATTTCAACATTGATAATAATCAGAAATGTTTCTTGAGCAGCAAATCAGCATATTAGAATGATTTCTGAAGGATCATGTGACACTGAAGACTGGAGTAATGATGCTGAAAATTCAGCTTTGCATGACAGGAATAAATTACATTTTAAAGGATATTCAAATAGAAAAGAGTTATTTTAAATTGTAATAATATTTCACAACAGTACTGAATTTTTAATCAAATACATCCAGTGAAAATAAGAGAATTCTTTCAAAAACGTAAAAAAAATCCTATCAACCCATAAACATTTGAACTGTAGTGATTCAACATAGACAGATACAATTACCTGCTCCAACAGAGCCAAGACCTGCCCGTATGTATATAATACACTGCTCTAGATACACACTTCTGTTCAAAAGATTGGGGTCAGTAAGTTTTTTTTTTTTTTTTTAATAAATAAATGCTATAGTAAAGACATTTATGA